TCCGAGCTCTGGCCCTGCCAGGAGTCTGTTGGTACTGATCGCTCGTAGTTTGGATAGGTGCTCTGATGTTTGAGTGTATGCGTGGAACTAGCTTTCCAAAGAGGTGTTGTGTGCACAGAAGCCAATGCCCCGCGCATCAAACATGGCTCAAGATGAAAAAACAAGAAGTCTCCGAAGTGAGGGTCTTTAGGCCCGTTGGTAGGAGGTTTCCTTTCTGGGGTGTGCCGAAGGTACAAGGTGACACAAGCTTAGGCTTTGAGTCTCCCACGACCTGGAGGCCCACCGTCTGCATTCTCTAGTTCGGGGTTTTCTTCAGTGATTGACTGCGTTTCTTGTCTTGTCTGAGTAGGGACCGGGGATACGTTGTTTATCTGAGTTTGTTTGTAGGCACAACGAATTTGTACAGAAGAAGGCGTATGATGGCATCTGCTACTGAAAGATCTGACCAAGATGGTCAACAGGTTATGAGCGCCCAAGGTCAAAGCACTACGCAAGCTTCGCAAGTAGCAGATGGCGTGACCCTGGAGGGTGAGACAGCTGGTCCGGATTATACGAGGGCGTCGATTACCGCTCGTGGAAGAGGAACTGCACCTCAGCTGCCAAATGGTACTGGTCCGCAGGCCTCTCCGAGAACGACCGATCCTTCACCTGGGATGCAGTCTCTGCCTTATTCTCCAATGGCTCTTCGACAATCAAGAGAACCTCAAGCAGCTTATGGGGGCTTTTTCCAAGAGGCCTGGCCCACCCAACCGCAAGATGGCATGGAACCTGCAAGATTTCAGGCTGTTGACAGATCAACTGGAAATCAGCTTGGTGTGCAGGGATGGATGTTGCGATTGGGAGAGTTTTTCAGGACTCAGATTGCAGCGCCAGGAACAACGGAGACGAGGACAACTGTTACGAGGCAGAGGCTAGTGGGTTCTAGGGGTTCGGGTGGTCTTGTAATGCAGCAGGAACAAGTGCATCACACCACTTCACAACCAGCATCCCCACAACAATCCCAGCAGCAGCCGCGGAAGCCTCAGCCTCTGACTAGTACCTCGGTGACTTTGCCTGTCGAGAGCTCTGAAGGGGATAATCGTGAAGCCTCTTCGGATCCACCTCTGTTTGGTCCAGGCGCCCGCCGTATGATGGAAGACTGGCCTCGTCAAGCTCCTCTACTACATCCTCCTTCTGCAGGCCCGGGAACTGATGTTGATTCCGCCGGCTCAATACCAAAGGAAATGGTTCAAGAAGAGGTGCGACGTCAAGTACAAGCAGCTCTGGCATCTCAGTCTTTTGGTCTTGAGCAGTTGCGTGAGGAGAATCGTGAGCTGCGCCGGAGGTTAAGTCAAGGCTTAGATCAACAAGCTCAGGGACATGGAGTTCCAGAAGGGCACCAACAAGCTCAGGGACATGGAGTTCCAGAAGGGCACCAACAAGCTCATGGACACGGAGTTCCAGAAGGGCATCAGCAAGCTCATGGACACGGAGTTCCAGAAGGGCATCAGCAGGCTCATGGACACGGAGTTCCAGAAGGGCATCAGCAGGCTCATGGACATGGAGTTCCAGAAGGGCATCAGCAGGCTCATGGACATGGAGTTCCAGAAGCGCATTATCAAGCTCATGGACACGGAGTTCCAGAAGGGCATCAGCAAGCTCTTGGACATGGAGTTCCAGGAGGGCAACAAACTCTTGGACATGGAGTTCCAGGAGGGCAACAAACTCTTGGACATGGAGTTCCAGGAGGGCAACCAGCTCTTGGACACGGAGTTCCAGGAGGGCAACAAGCTCTTGGACACGGAGTTCCAGGAGGGCATCAGCTTGGACATGGAGTTCCAGGAGGGCATCAGCTTGGACACGGAGTTCCAGGAGGGCATCAGCATGGACATGGAGTTCTACATGGTACAGGTTTAGAAGCCAGTATGCAAGGTGTCACAGGTCGTTGGTTGTCAAGTCGTGAAGCTGAGGACACTGGTGGCATCAAGAACAGATCTCGTAGTGCTAGTGCAGATCGTCGCGTTCATGGCGTTGGTCCTGGGACAACAAGGGTAGCGTCAGCTTCTCCAAGGACTCGGAATGTTTATGGAAGTGATTATGGACGGTCAGTGTTTGGTCAAGGAGTTGGGCTTTTCTCTGGCAACCGAGAGCGTGGAGGGATGTTCGATGTGGCCCCTGGGGATGTAGCTTATAGACAACCAGAAGTCCAGCGAGGAGCTACGTTCGGGGAGTACGACTACGAGATGGGAGGAATCCATCCTCCAGGTTTGGGTGCTTCAGAGAGAATGTTTGGTGACAAGTCAGCAGCGACGGAGGCCGAGCAGGCCAATTCAGCGGCTGGCCCGGGCCAAGCAGCGCAACCAGCAACTGTGCCATTGCCGGCTACAGGAGCTACTTCCGCCCCGCCGTCTCCAATGGACGTGCTCATAACAGGGATGACACAGCTTCAGCAGCTTCTACTACGTCAAAAACCTGAAGGGATGGATCTTGAACCTAAGGCGGTGCAGGAACTGGCGAAACTTCCTGACTATGCCCCAGAGACCGGTGCCCTAGACTTTCAGGACTTCTTGTACCTGGCAGAGCAGCAGATTGGAAGTCTGGCTTCGGGGGCACGAGAGTGGTGGTCTCGAACCTTGGCGGTGGCACAGGAGTCCTACGCCGAGTACCAGTCGATGTCACCCATGCGAAGGTTGACTGTTAAGCCGACGTTGACCAGTGAGCTCAGGGATGAGCGCTACAGGAAGCTGGAGAGGAAGGTCGCGGCGCTTCTTTTAGCTGCGCTCCCGAAGCTGGTGCGCGAGGAGATGATCGCTTACAGGGTCCAAGGGACTCATCAAATCCTCTTCAGGTTGATGATCGTGTACCAGCCAGGGGGGGCTCAGGATCGTGCCCAACTTCTTCGACAACTGGATGTTTCAGAGTCGGCTGCAGGGCCGGTTGAGGCCATTGCCGCCCTTCAGCGATGGTACCGTCTTCTACAACGAGCAGCGGACATCGGTGTGAAGCTACCGGATGAGCCCATCCAGACTAGGTCGCTCACGATGATCGTCAAGAAAACGGCGGAGTCCTTCCCGGACTTCAAGTTTCGAATGGCTCTGGCACGGACGGAGCTGCAGATAGACACGAGGCCGACGCAGGAAAACGTGATGCGATACTTACAACACTTGCTAGCAGAACTGGAGCACCTGGGCGGCAACAAGAAGCCAACAACCTCTACCCCTGGGCCCAACGGAGCATTGGACGCTTGGTGGCTGTTTCAGGTTGGTGGGACCCCAGGGGCGGCACTAAGACGGGTTTCTCCCCACCTGCCTGCCACCTTGCCCCCT